GAGTTACGTTAGTTATAATAACGATTGCAAAGTCTGTTTCAATCCATTTATAAAAAAGTGTACAAATAAGTAACTGACCCGACCATAGACGGTTTAGTAATGGCCAGTTGTAATGCCAACCACAAATCGATTAATCAGAAGAATTAATCGATTTGTTCAATTGAGTCATAGTAGCGGGTTTTTTTTTACATACCTTATATAAGCATATTTAAAATTTCCGAAATCTTAATTTTAAATCCTCCTTCAAATCCTTATTAAGATATTCGTTCGATTGTGATTGAAACATTCGATTTAGTAATAGATTACAAAAACTTTAATTGAATGAACCTATTGTTTTTTTTTCGTACAGCACTAAGCAACCATAGACATGTCATAGCTGTATAGTTGACAAATAACCTCACTTTTGGATTACCATTTTTCGAATACGATTTTACGATGCTATTCAAATGAATATTGTTGGAAAAACTGATGAGATATCAATTTGAAGTCTTTGAAAAGTGTCACTTATTCGATTTATTGAGTGATTGCTTTAGAATTTTAACCAAACAGTTTTGTTTACTTTTTGTTCAAAATGGATTGGAACAGACTTTGCAATCGTTATTATAACTAACGTAATCGACATTTCTAGCGAAATTGAGTTATTAACATATTCACCGACCTGATAAAAACGTTTTTATATCTTATTTAGTTACATTGTCAACCCTTTAACCGTCGTTATCGCTTTGGGGTCGTTTTCAGATAACCTCCAAAAATGTGTCCCTTTCAATAACTTTTATGTTATTACATGAATTCTAAGCATTATTTATTTAATATGATTGCTTGCTTACTTAGTATGTGTTACACATAAAAAGACTGTTTTACTATGTCACAGTAATAAATAAAAATTTAAAAAATGGGCAATTTCTCATTCATGAGAGCCGGTTTCACGTCGCCCTAATTTTATGAAAAGAAGAAACAAATTAAAGACTCATGGAAATAGCAATATTTCCAATCGAGGATAAACGCCAATAACTTACACGTCGAATAGATACCGTAACTTTCCAATTTATTATAAACAAACATGTTTTCTTGGGAATACGAAATGTGTTTCAATTTTTCTTATCATTAGTGTCAAATCAACTAAAAGCCTCCTAATAACAAAAGTTCATACCGCATCACCTTCACCCTTCGCACACATGAGAAGGGGCTTCTGTCGGATTGTAGAGTATACGGTGAAGTAACCTGTGCATCTCATTCATTCATCAATTTCAGCGCTAGTGACTAAATCGTTCTCATTCATATAAATCAATCTATCTAGATAAGTATTAAGCAATAGTTTTATAACTTTATTGTACATCAATTAGACAAAGGAAACTTTAAAATCCATACACTTTTATAACGGCCCAGCATATTTTACACACTTGACAATTAAAAATGTATCCAGATATCATTATTGTCGCTCTCATTCTTGCCTACTTCTAGGTAAATAGTTACTTTAATCCTATCATTTACTTGAAATATAATAATTAGATGGTGATAGTAGTGGTGATGATGGTGGTGACGATGATGATTCTAGTGATGATGACGATGATTGTGATGATGATATGAATGGTAATCTTTAGGTGCTAATGTCTAGAAAGTTACCGAAATGCAAATGCCTTAGTTATGACAAGAAGGCAGTCCTGCTACAACTGTCGTACTATACAAGTGCCGTGTTATCTCAATTAAACATGCGTCGAGTACGGTGCAGACAGATACGCAATAATGCTTGTCGCCTTACATCTCAAATCACGTCGTTGGGTTTGGGAAATTGCCACATCCCCTATGTAAGTTCTACAGATAACCTCAATAGGATCGTCTGGAAGTTATCTCGTTGAATTACGAAGGAAGTAGAGATATTAAAGGTGGGTAGATCTGATACGCGATTAATGGGAATTTCTATTGTTAAGTGGTGAGCGGAAGTTGGCAAAGTTTGAACGGTTTCGATAAGTACTTGATAATGGCTATTGTTATTACAACCTCGTTTTTATCAATAATCCGGTACAGAGTAGATAAAATAAACTAAAATAGTTTATTTGACATGCAATACAACACAAAGAAAATAATGTTTGCAAATTAATACTAATAAACAAAAACACGTCGGTGAGAAACGTTGTAAAATAAATATTAATTAAAATTAATAAAAAAAACGACCTCAATAGTTTGCTTATCCGTTTTCGCTGTGTTCGTTACTTAAGAGTCGATACAATCTCAAATGGCTTTGGAAAAAAAATATAATAAAATTGAGTAAATACACTGATTACTATGGTATGAAAACGCTATGTCTAAGAATTTTCACGATAGAAAAAAACACAAACTTACCTCGAAATTTTACCTACCGTTCTTTACATATAGCATTGATTTTTTTATTATCAACTGAACTAAATAGAACACGTCTAGTATACAATATATTTTTTTCAAATGCCTTTAATTTCGTTTGCAAAAAAATACATTCTGAAATAAAGCCAGTGTCCCTGCCGCTTGAATTCGAGCTGAGGTAGTACCAACTTTTAAGAGTATATATTTTTTCCAAAGTGATTGGTTCATCACTTTCACTGTTATGCGGAGTCAACCAAAGCCATTTGAGGCAAGACCTCGACAAAACGAATAATATCAGCCCAAACACAAGATAGTTGCTATAGCTCTTGCGGACTGTTATTTCCATCATCAAATCAGCTTCATCTCTGGACTTGTATCTATGTGTCAGGTTCAATCAATCGGTTAACGGAAAGTGGGTGAAGTTCAATAAACTGTAAAATCATCGAAATTGGGTCACAAATATCGGAGTAAACACACACACACACACACAC